GCCAGGCACCTGACCTTAACACTGGTCATCCCAGTCACCATGGAAAGTTTGGCCAGCACATATGTCATGCTGTGAGAGACATTACCAAGTTTCTAAAAGGAGCTGCACCCTGCCCTCTTATCCTGGGACCCAGGATGAGTTATCAGCCTTTACTGGGCTATTATTTTAAAGCAGGTTGTGTCCCCAGAATTCCAAAACACATATCAGGAATGAACTCAGGATGAAATGAGCTAGGAAGTTAGAGATCCCTTTTGCCGTGTAGAATATTATTCAGGCCAAAACTTGTGGAAGAGATAATGAGGAGGAAGAGGCAGAACAATTATGATCTTTAAAGCCCATACCTCTCAAAGAAGACCATAGACTTAAATTATTGCTTAACAGTCAGACAAGAGCATGAACGCCAGAGGGCAAGGAAGACGTGCTCTCCAGCTTTTATTCTGCTCTTTGGAGACACAGGGAGGCTGACAGACCCTTGAGGGTTTAGCTGGACCCTACCTATATCCAGAAGGGCCTTGGGCAGGCCTGGGGTTGCGCTGGGGTGAGGGATGAGGACTCAGAGGAGAAGGAAAGAAATACACCCCATGGTTGTCGCCTCTATTCTCTGCCTAAATGGTTTTCCCAGGTTAACTACCAAAGGGCTGAGGTTTGCTAGGGCCTTCCATGTGTGCCTTTGCCTCTGAGCTTCAGGGAGATGTCACCCCCTGACAGGGAAGGACTGGGGGAGGTACACTTTACATTTGGGGCAGAGGAGAGGAAGTGACATGCAGCAGCTCCTGATTATGTGGTTCTGTTCTCACACTCCCAGCACTTTTCCTTGTTGACAATCACCATGAGGTGTACCTCTGGCAAGGCTGGTGGCCCATCGAGAACAAGATCACCGGGTCTGCCCGCATCCGCTGGGCCTCTGACCGGAAGAGCGCAATGGAGACAGTCCTCCAATACTCCAGAGGTGAGAACTGTCGGCAGGGATGGGATGGGGATCCTCCAGAGGCCCAGGTCTATCTTACCTTTCTGCACTTGCGTGCCAGCCTTGATAAAGCCAGGCAGATGGCAGCAAAACCAATTTTTCCCCTTTCACTTTTTGAGGCTGATGAATTTCATGATCAGTACCTTCTTGGCTGACAGCATAAATGAGAATTCATTTTTATCTTTCCTATTATGAGATCCTCCAACTTGTATCATCATCCAGCCTAAAGGTGTATTGTGGAACACTCCAGAATAACTAATTCCTATTGCCCTGGAGATTAATAATGCCCTGAGACAAGCTGACCTCTTCCATGCCCATTATCTGCAGGCAGCCATTAAAGAGAAATCTCCCCCACACTGGCCGAAAAGTCTATGTCAACCTTTTTTTGTCATTGGTTATTATTTTTAGTATCATATCCAAAAAGAAAGACTTATAGTTCATCCTCCTGAAATATGTGGTCTTTCAGATGACATAAAGATGCCAATAATTAATTTCTTATCTGAATGTTTATGGTTTTTATCAATTAGCTTGATATCACTAAGTATATGCAGTTGATTCTCTTCTTGAAAAGCTCTTTCATAATAAATAGCTTTTTAAACTTTGCACCAAATGTCAAAGCTACAGTGGATGTATAAAATGCTGTTGTTAGCAGCCTAATACTATTACAACTTTGCCCTGTGTTAGGAAGTCAGAGGAAACCCTCCACAGGTGAATAAGGAGGAAGCAAATGTCCCATCAGGAAGAGACTTCAGCCCTTCCAGGGACTCAGAAGCATTTTTGTTGGGTTCAGGAGGGAGAATCAGGTTGATTCCATGTTCCTGCCATAGCCATCGTCATGAAATTAACACCTTATACAAACTTCATCTACGTGTTGTTATGAACTCCTCATAACCCACATTTTGAGCATAAGAGTTCTGAGCCAAAGAAAGAGATTTCAAAGGAAAACAGAGGAAGACAAGGCCCTGGGGTCTGCCAACATTGACATTTTGTGTAACTACAGGAAAGAATCTCAAGAAACCACCCCCCAAGTCTTACCTTATTCATGCTGGTCTGGAACCCCTGACGTTCACCAACATGTTTCCCAGCTGGGAGCACAGGGAGGACATTGCTGAGATCACAGAAATGGTGAGCATACTCCCTGTCCCTGCCTTGTAGTAGTGGATGTCACCTGGGCAAGAAACATCCAATTGCACTTTGAGAGTGGGAACACATTCCGTCTTTTGCAACATGCTCACCTATCTACGTAGAATTTGCTTAGGAAATGGAGAAGCCTAATGGGAAATCAATTGAACTCTTTTGGTTATTTTCCACACAAGTACTCAGATTTCAAATACTTACAGGCAAAGATGAATTTAATTAGTTTGAAGACTATCTATAAATAAAAGCTGCTAGCTCTTCATTCTGTTAGCTTAGCAACCTATTGCTTCTCAAGGTCCATGTGATGTGGGCCAAGTCAGAACATTTCAGATGTTAGCCTTGTGTAGGAGAGACACAGAATAAAATGGTGATGAATGCGTATGTTCACATAACTCAGGGGATGGATGTGTTGTGACTTTCATGAGAAGGTATTGCTCAGTATCTTATAAATTATTGTCCTTTATGTGACTGCCTGGTATACATGAGATATCCATCGCACCTTTTATCTACAGAAAGATATTCTTATCCAGAGTGTTTTATTTTCCAACCACAGAGATGAGAAGCTTAGCAAAGCTAAGTAGAATTTAATTTATGAGATAAATTCGCTAGCTGTACCAATTCCAAGGGTTTCTTTGGTTTGATGGCAGAGTTTCGTTCCATTTTGATTTCGTTGCTAGGTAGGAGAAAACGGCTTTTCTGGGAGAAAGAACCTGATTGTATTTTATAGGAAATGTTGAGTAGTTTTAAACAAACAAAAAGACTCTGCAGCAGCATAGCAATAGAGAGAGCCTATGTAGTACTGCAAATGTTGCTGCTTCGTCCAACTTCTCTTTTTGGTTTTGGTACTAGGGATGGAACCTAGGACCTTGCACATTGCCAAACAAGCACTCTACCATTTAGCTACATCCCTGTACCCTTTAGCCTGTCTTTCTTTAACCAAATGGATTTGATCTACACAAGGAAAGGGCTGATTGAAGCTCGATCTCTGACAAAGAACAAGATGGTCCTGTTATAAATAATAAATATAAACAATAATACATAAATAGTAAATATGGGCTCGCCAAACCCAAAAGCTGTAAGGATTACCAGCACCTCAGCTGCCTCCTACTGTCCAAGCTGAAGAATGTGAATTGTCATCAGAGTTCTGTACTCACTACCTTGGGGGTCAGAGATGGGCCATGTAATGAGGCCTGTGGGATCTCAGCCAGTGAAGGACTAGGCTTCCCACACCAGCAGACTGGACCGGAAATTAAGATTCAGAGCGCTCACCCTGTGCTAGGCACTGCTCCAAGTACTTTACATTTACTTTTCTCATTTAATTATCAGGACAGTCCATTAGAATTCATCTTATTTTTATCCCTGTTTTGCGAGTGTAGAAGCAGAAAGCATAAAATCACTTGCCCCACGTCTCAGAGCCAGTGAAAGACACAGGCGGGCTCATTTCTAAGACCCCTCTTGACCACTGGTCTCAATTTGGCAAGAGATCACAGTCATTCATTTCCCCCATCCACCTGCCCAAAGGGATCCAATTTTAATGGAAGAAGAGAATTTATCCAGAAAACTGTTCCGATTAAATGCACATGCTTGTTTAAGAACAAAAGAAAATCCATCCATTTCAGAATGTTCTAGGTACATTTGTTGTGTGTATGTGTGTGTGTGTATGTGTGTGTGTGTGTGTGTGTGTGTGAATCCACAGCCCTGTGAGTGTTAATTTTATTTTATTATTTGGATGTTTAGACTTCAGATTCAATAATCTTATTCCACAATTCACTCTTGGGAGAGTCCCTAAACATTTATTTTTTCTTGGGGGTGCTGGCGATCAAACCTAGGACCTTGCATATGCCAGGCAAGCACTCTATCACTGAGTCGCACCCCAACCTTCTCAACACATTTTTTGGAAGCAGCCCTGACACAGGATTTATTTGAAACTTCATGTAGGGCAAAAAATCATCTAGAAGTCAGGAGAACCTTGGGGCCATGGGCTATTCCCCTCTTCCCTGACAGTGGTTGCAAGCACTTGATAAAATGTGTGTTCAAATGTGGGACACACTGAGTTCTCTCTGCTCCCTCTTCTTCAGGACATGGAAGTTTCGAATCAGATTATCCTTGTGGAAGAGGTGTTGGCGAAGCTCTGTAAAACCATTTATCCACTGGCTGATCTCCTCGCCAGGCCACTCCCAGAAGGAGTGGATCCTCTAAAGCTTGAGATTTATCTCACGGACGAAGACTTTGAGGTAAGTATTACTTCAGGTGGGATGGGAAGGAAACAGCACCCCTGGTCCGAGCAGCCTTTCACTTAGTCACTGGGTTTTTCTTGTGCTCCCACTAGTTTGCACTGGACATGACAAGAGACGAATACAACGCGCTGCCCACGTGGAAGCAGGTGAACCTCAAGAAAGCAAAAGGCCTGTTCTGAGTGGGAGAGGAACTGTGGTGGTCACTTTCAATACCACTGGACCCGAAAAAAAATGAATATTTTTTTGGACTTGTTTTTTTTTTTTTTTAAAGAATGGTATTTTTAAAACAGAGTTTTTCAGAACCTGACCTTATTAACTATTCTGCGCATCCCAGAGTTGTGCATTTTGTAAATGTTTAAGAGAACTCTTTGGAAACTACCTTTCCACAGTTCAGGGGTGATGTCAATAAAAGCATCGTTCATATGCAGAGATTCCCCAGCAGCGGCTACAGCACTGCCCTCTTGGTCCAGCAAAAGCATTGCCTTTTTTTTTGGTTCGTTTGTTGTTGTTGTTGTTGTTGTTTTTTGAAGCAGTTCTCTTTATAAAAGTGTTATTTTGATAGTTTGTGGATTCTAAAATATATATATATTTATATAAACACCATATAAATCAATATGTATTTAACAAAGCAATATGTATTCATTCACTTTTTTGTTGTTGTTTTTTGGTGTCAAAATATTATTAAAAGGTAGATGGAGTTGCTTCTGTTGAATTAGGTCTGCCACCAATCTGTATGCTCACGTGCGATCAGAAGCCTTCCTTTAGCGTTAGGTCTGACTTGTTCTGAGTACTGCTTCCGGTGCTAAAATGAACAAAGCATTTGTACTTAAGAGCATGGACTTTGGCGAGTCTGTGTGAAACCAACCTTTCTACCTTAATATCTCCCCCAAAATGTATAGTGCCTTGTTTTTATGTACAGTTTATATACAGAAATGTTTGCCCTGCATTTTTTTTTTTTTGATGATGATGGTTTGGAACATTATTTACAGTTTTACTCTCAAATAGTAGAAATAAAAACATCTCAGTTTCTAATAACTGTTGTAAACATTACACATGTCATTTTGTGACAGGACTCCCAAATAAAGACTTCAGGATAATCACAACAATTAACTGATTTTGATTCACATTGAATTCCAAGCCTGTTCTTTTATGGGGCTGGGGGAAAGATTTTGTTTTTTATAATTGTCAACCTCGTACCACTATTTTGCCATTAAATATTAGCTGTTGTAACTTTGAATTTAGTTTAGGGCAGTATTGTACACAAGGTCATAAGGCTACATAGATATTTGACCCAGAAAATCAATTCTGAGTACTATGGTGAAGACATAGTTTTACAGACCATCATCAGAAGCTTTTAACTCTATAACTACATACATTTCAGTTTCAGGACCTCGGTCGGTGCCTTTCAAAAAAAAAAAGAAAAGTGGATGTTTAAGGTACATGGAAACTCCTTTGCAAGTTCCTGTGTTCTTAAAATACCAAATCCAGGACTGGGGATGTAGCTCAGTGGTAGAGCACTTTGCTAGCATGCTCAAGGCCCTGGGTTTCATCACCAGCACCACATACGACAACAAAGAGAGAGAGAAGGAGAAAGAAAGAAGAAAAGGCAGAGAGAGAGGGAGAGGGAGAGAGAGAGAAAAAAATATCCGTGGTTTTGAACAGATCCTACCATGAATCATTACAGTCCTTTCCCTATCCTTTTTAGTCTAAGGTTAACATATTTTATAATCACACATTTGCCTTAAACTTTATAACTATGTATCCCATCCTAGGACTGTATTGGGGTCAGAGGCCTATGAAACACTCCTGGTCCCACCACATTATGATTGTGTGAGACTGGGCAAGCACTGAAATTACCCATGGTGGCTTCCTTAAGAAAAGGCGACAATAACTAGCTCTCCTGCCTGCATCGCAGGATTCTTGGCAAGCTCTTAAGAAATTGTCAAGTGCTAGATACCTGCTGTTATTAATATTATTGTGATGATAGCTGAAAAAAGAAAGCATGAGCATTGAGGACCTTGTGCACCTAGAAATTATAGATTAAATAAAACCAAGTGGCCTCCGTAGGAGAACCTGGGGAGTATCACAAAGAGGGAGACTGAGCTGCCAGCATCTGTAGCCGACTAGGAATTCACCTACATTCTTAGACGCACAGAAAGTATATTAGGGTTCTCCAGAGAGACAGACAATTGGAAGTAAATGATAGATGATGGGTGAATAGATGATAATAGGTGATAAATACATGATAGATATAGATGATAGATAAATAGATGATGATGATGATGATGAAAATTGATAAATAGAAATGACAAATGGATGCTAGGGAGTTTAGGCTGTCTGTTGGCTGGAGACCCTGGCTGTCCAAGAATAAAGGCTTCAGAACCAGAGATAGCCCAGGGAGCTGCTGGTACAAGTCCTAGTGCCCAAGGACTGGAGAACCTAGAGTTTTGATCTCCACCACAATGAAAGAAGAGTCTATTCTTGTTCCAGGAGAGAGAAAGACAATTCACTTTTCTCTGGGGGTTTTCAGAGGGCAGGGAGCAGCAGGTGGGATGGTGCCTGCTCCTACTTAGGACAGATCTTCCCCTTTTGGTCCATTCAGATGTATACACCAGTCTCCTCTGAAGATTGTAACCTTCACAGCTACACCAAAATAATGCTTTGCTAGTTCCCTAGTATTCCTTCATCCTGTCAGGTTGACACCTTAACTGAACCTCACAGCGGTAACAAGTTGCTATAGGAACCTCCCGTGGAGAGTCTCCTGTAATTTAAGACAGGCCTCATCATCAAGATCCATTACAGCCAGATCACCCCGAAAGTGCTTGAAATCATGTGTCTCCGCTTGTATTAAACACTGCCCCCCAGTGAAGAGCCGTCAGTGTGCCTCAGGCCTCTTTGTAAACAAGTCACCCCATCCTCTGTCACTAGCTCACTTTTTACCTCTTTTCCTCTGATTGTCTCCTGCCTCTCTTCCCTGCTTCCCAACCCAGACTCTTCCTTACCTGGGTTTTCAGATGCACTGGGAGTCTCAGCTGCTGCCTTTCTCCTTTGCATCCCTGAACAGGACCCACCCTAAAAATTTAAACTGCTAAATCCTAATGAGACTTGGCCCTTTAAGTTTTCCAGGGGACTTCCCCCTTGGCCAAAGGCCCCCACAAAAGCCACTGCCCTAGGAAGATTTGATTGAACCCAGCAGGATCAGAGACGTGGATTCTCCTTAGTTTGCTACTTCAGGATTGAGGGGGCTGTGTTTGAGATCCACATCACAGCTGCAGGGGGATAGATGGAATGTCCATTTGCTCTGAAGCTTTGCGCAAACAGGAGCAGTTTCCAGAAGAGTGGAATGACCTGTTTGTTCCCCTTTGGCTTTCCCCAGCTCAGAGGGAGGGACAACCTACTCAGGAGTCCCCTTCTTTCTTATTTTAGAATTTTTGCCCCACTCTTAAGAATTTCCATTTGAGTAAAGAAAATGTATTCCAGAAACAATTTGAGAATCAATTTATGTCTCCAGTTTTGTTGATTTTCTAATTATAACTGGTGTGCTCTTTGTCTACACGGAGCCTGGTACAGATACATTCATGGCAGCAACATTCATAAAAGTCCAAATCTATAAGCAGATCACCTGACCATCCACTGAGAAATGAATAAACAAAATGTATTGCTTATATGCAATTGACTACTATCTAACAAAGGAAGGGACAGATATTAGTGTATACCCATGAAGAACTCATGGTCTATGCTATAACAGAGAAAGAAGCCAAGTCCAAAAGGTCATATGCTGTGTGATTCTGTGTACATGAAACTTCTGAAAAAGGCAATTCTACTTAGAAAGTATACCCAGAGTGGCCAGGATAGCAAAGGTGCACAAAGAATTTGTAGGGGAATGATGAAAATGTTCTAAAACTGGATTGTACTGATGGTGGCACAACTCTACAAAGATACAAAAAGTTACGGAACTGTTCACTTAGATGAGCACAATTTATGCGGTATACCTCAAGAGAGGTATATACAGTTCTTAAAAATAGTAACTCTTGATCTATGTGTAAACTGTCAACATTACATGGATGTATAACTTAGCAATTGAAAATCATGGATAATCCCACTTCACAAACACACATAAATTTCGAGAATTTTCTTTACATCTGTTAATATAGATGTGTACATCCATATAATTTTAAAATAAAAATTATATTGGTTCTTCTTGGACAGTAGCCTTGGATGTTTTTGTGTTCATATTTGGTTCTGAGGTCACATGGGACACAGAGTGAAGACCTAAATCGGTAATTGTGCAGGACCCCAACCTCACCAACAATCCCTCATCCTCTCTGTCCATTCTTCATTTCCTGCTGGCCATGAGCAACATCAATCAAGGGCCCAGAGACAGAAGGTAGGGATTAGCTTTCAGAGGCCTTTCTTGATCTCAGAGCCAGAGGAAGGACCCAAAGTGTAGTAATACGAATGCAAACATTTGAAAACTGACTACAGTTGTTCCTAGTTCCAGGACCCCCTGTGGATACCAAAGTCTGCAGATGTTCAAGTCCCCTGTAGAGAATGGCATAATGTTTGCATAGAACCTGCCCACATGCTCCTTAAAACCATCTCTAGATTACTTATAATACCTAACACCATACAAATGCTATGTAAAAACTTGTTATAAGTGTATTGTTTAGGAAATAAAGATCCCCCAAAAAACATCTGTACATGTTCAGTTCAGATGCAATTTCTTCTTTGAATGTTTTCAATCTCTGGTTCAATCTGTGGATGAGGGCCAACTATTTATTATTATGGCATCTGGCCCAAAGAAAACTTCCTCCTTTTAAAAAGCAAATACACTGCATCTCACACACTTGCTCTTTCCCCATCAGAGGAATGCTATCAGGGCTGCTCCAGGCTACTACTATAGATGTGCCCAAGGATTAGATCAGAAAGATGGATTTGCAAGGGAGAAGGCTGGAGGCTTTCTGTTCCTATAATCAGTACCATGGATCTGTTGTGCCTGTTGAGCTTGTATGGAAATATCCCACTGTTTTCACAGTGTATAATGCTGAGGCTTGAGGATTAATAGAGAAGAGAGATTAGCAACCAGCTTCCCACGTGTCTAATAATGAACTAACCTCTACAGAGCTTTTCTATCTTGCTGCTGAGATTGAAAAGAAAGTTGCAAGACCCAGAAAGAAAGCAAGCTAAAGTCAGGAAAGGCAGTGTCGGAGACACCTCCGCCTTAAGATTCCATCACAGTCTCATCAGTCACAAGACACCATGGAAGTCTCATAAGGGCGATGCTGGAACTGACTTATCTGGACCTTGACATAAATTGTTATTAAATCTTATTTGAATTATTACTGTCCAAACACCATTTTAACATTCATCCTCAAATGGTTGTAACCAGAATTGCTAGGTCTATAAAAGTAAAGAAATATTGAACAACTACTGGGCGAGGCAACTTGCAACTATAAAGAAGCAAAAAAAAAAAAAAATTAAAGGGGACAGAAATGAGACAAGTATGAGAGTGGTGTCTGCATGTGGAAAATGGTGACTAAAGAATGGCTTTGGGAGCTGAGGTCTTGGGTGGTGTTGGTGCCCATTCTAGGAAGAAATGATTAAGTAGGCTCCGCCCTTCTTGGATCCTCCCCTCCCTCCTCCACCGTCCCCCTCAGGGGTTCCTGGAGAAGGCCATTCCGTTTTTTAAGTCGGGAAATCACAAAATTCCCTTTTGTCAGTGATGACATTGAGGTCCCAGTGGGACTTTCCTTTTGGTTTTTAGGGAGGGTCTTCCCACACATTCAAAGCTAACCACTGTGACAGGCCCATCATGGCTGAAATGTGTTTCTAGTCTCATGTTGCACATTCCAGACCGTCATTACTTTAATGTCCACTCTCATCCATGAGCTCATGTACATACTACTTGCTCGTACAAGTAAGAATTGGGTGTGTGCTAAGGATAAGGCTCAACAGATCACAAATATGATTTCTAGTTAGGCCCAATCCCAAAAAGCCTGCATTCCAGGGGAGGAGAGCATAATGGTAATTCACCAAGAGCTATAAATAAAGATGCAAGAGAACTCTGTTATGAGTTGAATTGTGCTCTCCCCTCAAAAAATAAAAAGATTTATTGATCATGTAATCCACATAAACTCAGACCCATCATCACCTCTTCCTAATACTGAGAGGAACTTAGGAAAGAGCCCTGCACCAGCAGCCAGCTTGGCTTCCAACTCCTGCCCTGCCCTATCACTAGTAGCTATTGATCTTGAGCAAGTTACTTAGCCTCTCTGTGCTTCAGCCTCATTATCATCTCTAACAATGGATTAATGATATCAGATAAGACAATGTGTGAAAGGGCTTACACATAGAAGTTGCTTACATATAGCAGTTGCTCAATAACATATGGAGGGTACAATCTTGGAAATCTTTTGCC